ATTTGGTTAGGGAGCTACTGGGAACACACAGTAGAAGGCTGTTTGGAGGTTGGATGGGTGCGAGTTAGAGAGGATCTCAGCTTTCAGAATTGTTTTTCCACGCCAGCTGACTCGACTAAACGGGCACTGCATTTCGTCGAAATTAGCATATGTTATTGCTACCAGAGAGGCCATACCAGAAACTAGCGACTATGATGGCGCACGCAGATCCCTCAAACACCAGATAATCAAGAACATAGAGGGTGACAGATAACGCCGGTAGATTTCGAAGGCTCAGCAGGTAATGAAGGCTTTCGTTACAGGCAACAACCGCGCCATGTTTCGAAAGCCTTGATCAACCGGTCAAAGGGAAACAAGTGTCAGTGAAACGGTATGCGGAAAAAACGCAGTAGCAAATCACTCTCTCAACCGCCGTCTTGGGCGATCGACTGAGCACTACAAAGAACGGTTCAGCTGATTTCCTTCAACACAACTACTGGAAGAACCCAACGAACTTGAACAGAATATCGACATCAAACAACTATAAGCAACCAAAATCCAGCATGGGGTGTCGATCCTGAAGTGCGGTAAGGCACCTCGCCCGGATGGCCTGTATCCCGCACTTTTCAAGGAAGGTGGCGAGGCCCTGGTAAACAGTCTGACAACCGTACTGCGGAAGATTTGGAACGAAAACAGAATACCGGTCTAGTCGAGCTCGTCGACCGTCATTCCACTCTTTAAAATAGGTGCGAGAATGTCACGTAAAAATTACCGTGGCATCGGTCTAGTATCCGTCGCATCAAAAGTGCTGTGTCGGATTATTTTGCGCAGGTTGGCCGATTATCGCAAGAATTAAGCTTGGTTTCACCCTGGTCGAGGGTGTGTCGACCACATCCTTTCCCTGAGACGAGATCTCGACCAGCGCCACTCCTTCAGGCGTCCCACGTTGGTAGTGTTTTCCTGAGCTGAAAGCTGCTTTTGGTTCTGTTGATCCTCAAAATATTTGGCAGTGTCTGGTGATCAAAGGTGTCCCTTTCAGATTTATATCCCTTATAAAGACAGTGTATGCGAACTCCTTTGGACGCGGTATACGGGAAGCTTTCTCGTGAGTTCATCACGTCCAGTGGTGTAAGACAAGCCTGCCTTCCCTCACCTTTTCTCTTCGCCTTTGTCATTGATAAGCTGCCTGAAATTTCTCTGCCTGCCTGCGAAACTTCAGGAGCCGAAATGCTCCCGAGATGTTCCCTCACAGACATTAAGTATGCGGACGATTTGCATTCCTTGGCGCAACTCCTTTCCAAATATAGACGATTTCAAATAACCCGAATAACTCTACCGCACGGTTTGGTGTGCGTTTCACACCTGCAAAGTGTAAAGTGCTGCTACAAGACCGGGTGGGATCAAATCCAATCCACATGCTTCTAGCCAACTAACGTGATAGATAAATTTGTTTTTCTGGCCAGCTGCGCAAGTCCCGGTGGAATAGCTGGAGATGAGATTGTAGTGGTTAACGGCCCTATGGAGTCTCTAGTGAACTGAACAAATTACTGGTGTAAGCCAGATACAAAGTCACAAAGAGAAAAATACAAGTAAATCTTGACTCACAGTTCAAAATAGGAGATTCCGTAGTTCCGTATTCCGTTGAACCACCACACAAAGAATAGTTCTATCTTCCTGGTATCCCAGATCTCCGGTGATCGAAATAGTATTCCACAAGCGCGAATATATTAGTCCAGCGTTTGTAGCTGAAATGTTTGTTCACGTTTAGT